TTTCTTCTTTCACCGATATAAAAGGGAAGAGGCAGGTTCGTATTTAAAAATGCATCCTTCTTTTGTATACCTGACTGGCTAATATTTCAGTCCTGATCTTCTGCTCGTAAACGGTCCCGGAAGCTGCATTCCGGTGGTGTTCGCAGCTGCATTTTTCGACATGATTCGTCTCCGTGATACGGTCATAATTTACGAAGAGTCGCTTTGTCGCGTTGAAAGCTTATCGTTGTCAGGTGAGTTGGCTTTTTATAATTTTTATGAAGGATCGTGAATTTCACCGTTTGTGAGATTACGTGGGAGCACAGGTAGCGGCTTGAACCGAGAAAATCGGAAGGTGGCTGTGTCTGATCAAAAGGTTTCAGAATCATGCTATCCAGATGAAGGACACTGAATCTTATGATTTCGGAGCCTTTTAATGCATGCTGTAGAAAATGAGATTGTTCACTGTTCACATATTACCAGAACTGGAATGGGGATTCATTTAAGGGCTCTAATGTGTCCACTCTTGCAATGGTTCCCACTTTAAGCCCTTTTTTCATCATGATCAGGTACTAGGAGAGCTTACCAGTTCAGTCCCTTTCTGAAACCACAGGCTGCCTACCCCCGGCCCCCTTTATTGTTGCCTTTCCCAAGAAGGATATAAATCTAATTTCTTTTTGGTGCATGCTTTTCAGCATAATTCACAAAGCATGTTTTGTGGCATTTTATTTGCGACTGATCAGACTGGTTTTAAACCCTGTCCGGTCCGGGTAGGGTAATATGCGTCCAAAGATCTTTCAAAATACAACACCCCACCCCAAATCTGTCGAGCGTCGCAAGGAGATAACAGGCCTCCGAGCCGTCAAGTGCGATCCCATGCGAATCCAGACAATCGAACACTACGTAGTCCCTTGCGATTTCAGTTCAGCAATTCCGATAGCGCTTTCGGCTGTCTCATACTTCCCATCACGGATTTGAGAGCTGCGTTACTTGGAAAGCGTTTGTATCGAACTAACGTTTAAGCGTGCGCCGCCATTTTGAGCGTTTTCGCGGGTATTTTTGAGTTTTTTGAGAGCAGTCGCTGAAATACGCTGGAGTACGCTCAAAAAAGGCTGGATCGATGACTACACTTTCTCAAAACGCTGCCTTATGCTGACCCACGCTTAGAATGCTGAATCGATATCTATACTTTCCTAGTCGCGCGAAAGGCTGCCACGCCCAGAATGCTGACGCCAAGTATGAACGTAGCCTTGAACGTTTTCATAAGACGAATGACTACATATTTATTGAGTTGTGATGGGTTCTTCTTGTATTCTTTGACGGCTCTTTTAGGATCCATTCTTTACTTCACCGGTTTGGCTGATGACATTGTGGTACAATGGAAACAGCTAAAGGAGAAGTACCCAAGGACAACGTTGATCAGTGACTTAAAATGAGCGAGGAAAACGCGTTTCTCATCGGTGTGATTCAGCTGTTCTGATGATTTGTAAGTAAAAAGAGCATGCTTTGCTTATATCTTTCATTTACTTTTGCTATGTTCCATGCGTTCTAGTTTTTTCATTCTAGCTCGTCTACTGTCTACTGTTCCCGAACCAGACTCATTGCCATCTCGCCATCTCTTTGCAACCTTGTTTACGATGCTTTCGCGTTTTTTTTTTGAGCGAATAGCTTATTGTGTTGTAATTTTGTGATAAGGTTGAAAGACCAATTTCTACGTGCACTGTGCACTGTATCGAATATCGTGTAAACCCTGTGAAATTGCCTTGTACGTGTACGGTTTTTTTTTGTATTCGCTGCTGCGATCAGCTATTTGTCTACGCCAGTTTGACTCTCAATAAACATCGGCATTGTTTCGATGTATGATTATCTGTTTTGGCTATTCTGTTTAACTTGTGGGTGCGCATGAATGAGCAGTTGGCAGTCTTTCAACTGTCCCATCAAAGTTCAGAGTCAAGCTGCACATCCTGGAAAGCGAAGCCGATGAGTGTGATTTCCAGCTTATTTTGTGTGAATGTAAAATGTACGACACTATGCAGACGAGAAGTGAGTAACGCTAAAGTGTCACTTAAGCAGCGTTCTGACTACGTGACGATACGCTACAAAACAAAAACGCCCCAACTGTAGACATGCACGCAGAGCAGAACGCAGCCGCCCCATTCCCCGGCGTTGGCCGCTTGTATATTTCGAGAGTATAGGATATAAGGCAGATTTCAGACTAAGCGCGGGGCAAGCGCCTCGGTCGCGGTTGGCGCGACTTGATGAAGCATGCTAATCGACTGCATCGGCCGCCGACCGTAAGCGCTGGTGCAAGTATGAACGCACTGCCCTTTACATGAGGCACGCATTAACTTATTGGCACTATACACACAGTAACGCTGTACCTGTTTTGGGGTGTTCAGGGTGTTTTTAATAAAGGAAGAACAATAAAAGAAGGTGTAAAGAAAGCTTTTAATGTAATAACCAGGATACCGATGAGGACGACCAGGCACAGCCATCGTTCTGTGGTGATAACATAGGGCGGTCTCTACTTTTTTCGGTGGTGGGTGGGGTGGTCGTTCTGGCGTGTGTAAAAAAATTTATTGGATAAGTTGTTTTTTTTATTGTGTAAAAAGTCGGGGGCACGGGGTCTATAATTGTTATTAATTTGTGGAATATGTTGCATGCATAGCTGATTGTATAGTTTACTTTTGACGCGTCGAGCTGAGGGGGGGGTCGTACAACGGGGAAAAAAGTTGCGGGGGCGGTCGTGGGCGCGGAGCCATTCGAGGGGGGGGGGGGTGCTGTTACTCACACTACATTTCGGGGGCCGTTATCCTATGCTGTTGACGCCTCGAGTGAGGATGAGGACAGTGTGATTCTCCAACCTGGTTGACCGCGTTCTGGGGGAGGGAGCGGCCTTAATGGAGGAATCGTGTCTCAGAATGTTATAGCACGACGATAGAAGAATGTGCCTGTCGTCAGAAACTTGACTAGTATACCTCGCGTTCCCCATGCTCTATTCTCACACGACAACCGGCAGCGACGGCGCTTTCGCCTGCGAGGCTGATCGTTCGCGTCCATATGATAGTTGCCGAGTCCGTGTTTGCTGACAGTGCGCGTGTCAACGACGGTAGAGGACGTAGACCGAGCGTCATACTTGAGCATCTGTAACCGGCGGGCAAATCATATGTGCGAGTGGTTTTGTCGAGTCGGCACGACCCCTCTTTTTTCGGCGAGAAGGGAGGGAGAGGTTGGTATTCGTTCACTTCCACTCTTCATCACGATGCGGAAGGGGTTGGAATGATAATGAGTAACTATGATAACAAGAAAAACACAAAGATAAATCAACTCTAAAAGCGAGCGGTACTGATGGCCAATAACGAACCTCCATCGTCAATCCAACGAGCAAGTAGGACGTACATGCCTGCAGCTACGTGGTTTGTGTTTTCATGATCCCCCCTTGCGGAAGGCTTAAGGTGTAGTGAGGTTATTAACATCATACTTGAATAATCACTTCCGACAATACAGTATTATTTCTCTATACATTCTTATAAATCATTACGTTTCTTTCAGCGATAGTATACTTTTAATACTTCGTACTTGTTCAGAAATATTCCTGAAACGGAGTTAAAATCAAGTATACATGCTGATAAGTTGTGTGAAGTGTGTTGTAAAGGATGTGACGAGTGCAAATGAGAGTGCGCACAAGTGCCTATCCTCATGCTGTGAAGGAAAATAGGATCCAACGGAGTTGGGTATGTGGCAGGACATTCGTAATATGTACGCCGCACTGGGGGAGTAGCGAGCGGCGCCAGTACCGACTGACGAGTTGTCCTGTCTTGCCATTCGAAGTTGTCTGTTGAAGGGACGGGAGAGTTCTATAAACCCGTTGTGGAATCATGTCTCCGCTTGAATTTATGAGTTTCGCTGCTCCAATCGACAAACTGGCGCACATGAGAATTTGTTGCGCACAGCCGCACGATGCACCGCACGCGACTGCGCGGAAAACTACGATTGTCTTGTCTCCCATCATAGTCGGAGGGGATGGGAGGGGATCCCTACGCGGACTAGGGCAGTTCAATACATCCAAATTTCGACGAGGGCAGAGACGGAGGCGTTGGAAACTGTATCACGTGCGCGGCATCCGCACCAGGACCAAATTGATCCAACTAGCGGCGTTGCAATATGTCAAATCAGCTATAGGTGAGATCGCCACTCGCGATACTGTGTCTCAGATGTCTGTACTGTCCTAAGTGTGAATGACCTTTTAGGCTGAGGACATCGCTGCTACAGGCTTCGTCGTATCGGTACTGCGTTCGTGGTTCAACTAGTAAATGAGGAATCCAAACACCGCCCTCTTGACCATCCTTGATTTTTCGGACATTACTCGGGCAAAGGTTGCAGCAGGGATTTCGCGGGGAAGCTCGACAACGGTTCATTCTCAGACAGCTTTGACCTCAACCACTCGCTTTTCTTATGCAGGAATTACATCAAGGGGCCTGCTCAACCAAAGCAAGCGTCTCTTTGCACTTGCTTAAATGGAATTCCAAACCGAATCTTGCACTTTTGCATCTTTTCGAGTACGAATCTTGCACTTTTGCATCTTTTCGAGTTATACGCAGCGGCTACTTCGGCACAGATGAATTTGAGTAGCACAGTTCCCTTTATCGCTCGATCCCATAATCCGCGCTCATTTCGACCACGCGGGGTGTTCTTGTCAATTTCTCGAAAACTTCTCTGTGACTAGATTAGCCAGACTTCACGGTTACGTAGCTAAATGAGCCAGCTTCAAAATGATACAATAGCCCACTGCTCTAGCCCCTTTGCTTGTCTGCCATTCCTCTATATGTTTCCACGTTTTTGAATGAGATGGCCTAATTCTACGTGCGAAATCGCGCTAATAAACCTCGACGATTTTCAGAACAGGTGAGTGGCGCTATCTCGACCGATTGCCATGACTCTCGCCGCAAGAATCATTTCGAAATTCAGCTACAAGAAGTATAAGCGCTTGGATTACGACTGCGAAACTCACCGATTCTTGAATGTTGCCGGGAGCTTCCATTGGTGAACGAAATACGACGCTACGTTTTTGAATCTGGAATGCTAGACTTGGAGAACGTCGAAGTGAAAGCAAGACATTGCAACACTATGTTTTGCTGATGAACGTACAGTCCTCATCATTACGGACTGTCGGGGCGGCACAGCCGCGCTGCACTGTGACGCGACAGCGGCTGCGGCTCGGTGACGGCGAATCAGCTGATTTCCATGGAATTCGGCTGCTTTTTCAGCTCTTCAAGCTTCGAAAGTGGAAGGTGAGTTATTTTGAACAATTTTAAATTGTACTGACTCTGAATGAATCTGAAAGAATGCAAGCCATTTGAATAAATGCCTGAAATAAGGCAAAATACAAGGAAAAGAGCATAATAATCGACATAAAAATAAAGGAAATCAGAGCCAGTACAATTCAAAATTGTTCAGAATAACTCACCTTCCACTTTAAAAGCTTAAAAAGCTGAAACATTCTGCAAGCCAAAGTCCGTCGGAATCAGCTGATTCGCTGTCGCCGAGCCGCAGCCGCTGTCGCGTCGCAGTGCAACTCGGCACAGCCGCCCCGACAGTCCGCAATGATGAGAACTGCAAATCATTGGTATTCTGATGGTTTTCTTTATGTGCCAACAGGTTTTTTTATGGTCGCACCCCTACTACGCATGACGCTTAGATAAAATCGTCTTTCTCAAAGGCCTGAAAGCATACCGGGACCGTTTGAACTGGTATTTATCCTATACATTATAGCATTGCTCTCAGCCATTTGCAATAGAAACAACGAATAGTAGAACTGTGGCGGAACGCAGCTCATGTCGCGGGCGCACACTGCCAGCTACCGACCTATCAGTCTGCTCTAGCGATATATAAGTCGTTCACGAAAATACTGCTCAACCGTATGGAACGCATCTTAGACGACTATCAACCACCAGAGCAGGCCGGCTTCCGCAAGAATTTCTCCTGTATGGACAACATACTAACACAGCTATTCTTCGCCTTTGTGGACTACAAAAAGGCCTTCGACTCAGTGGAGGTTAATGCTGTTCTCAACGCCCTTGTGCGAGCCGGAGTACCCTCTGCCTACATTCGCCTGCTCGAACAGAGTTTATCGAACACATCAACAACCCTGCAACTGTTCGAGCGCAAGGTAAAAGTACCCATTGAGAAAGGGGTACGGCAGGGGACACGATATCCCCGAAGTTATTCACGGCAGCACTACAGTATGCGATGTCAAACCTCAACTGGGATGACAAAGGATACTTGATTGACGGGAAAAGAATAAGCAACCTCCGTTTCGCTGATGATATCGTTTTGATATCCGATAACACAGTCGAAATGGAAGAGATGGTAAACGAGCTCGACATGATTGGTCAGAAGATTGGCTTGGAAATGAATATGTCCAAAACGAAAATGA